AGGTGCGTTCACTCAGTGGGTCAACCTTGAGACAGCATCATGAAAAAAAGTCAAGCGTTCACCCCATGAGTGAAATCTCATCAGGCTCAGTTCATTCACCCATGTTTACTCCATCAAAAACTGAGGTTTCGAGAGACTAAACTTGCAAGAAGAAGCCAAAGCATCTCAAAGTGCCATCAAAAAACGAGGAAGGATATCCTCAACATGCCCTACTAGATAAATGTGAGGAACAAACTGTATCTACATGTATCTACTACTTCTTGCTGCCCTCCAGTCGACTGTCTGAGCCATCCTACTTTCGGGGTCAGACTGCGAGAAGCCTGCCTGTCCTTCACCACTGAAGCCTGCTGGGATTTGCTGGGATGTCTGGACACAGGTTCATTCACTCCCTGGAGCTGCGAAGGAAGAGGAAGAGGAGCCACGCTACAAGGGGTCCACGCAACCAATGATGGTTGCAGCACATGAAAAGAAGGAAGGAGATGAAAACCCATAGGGAGAAGTAAAGATCAAGATCTGGTGTGAGTAGAACCTCTTCTGCGCTGTCTGCGCTGCGCTGTCTGCGCAGACGCGCCGTCCGGTCCGGACCATCTTCTGCGTCAGCGACTGAACTCTCCGCGATCGCCCAGGCCATGAAATATGACAAAACCAGGTCACTCCAGCAGTCCAGTCGCCGGGGAAAGCGGACGCTTTAGCATCCTTTCACTGATTGAGGCCACAAATCCTTCCTTTTGTTTGACCTTCTGACAGCCTTCGGTCGGGCCGGTAGCCTTCACCATAAATCCTTCAAATGAATTCAAAGGATCCATCCAAGTGGAGTCACTTTTGCAAACCAAAAACAAATTGGAGTCACACTCGTCGCGCTTTGATGCGCTTCCCGTGCCGCCGCGCTCGCCGCACGCGATGCGCGATGCGCCCAAGGAGCTCAAAGAGCGAATCAGCGGACGATGCCAGTGATGGATCCTCACGATCAGCGGACCGGCCCCCTCTCACTGCCAATGCCGGAAATCCCCGGAAAAAAATGGTTCACCTTGTTCCACCATGTTCATCTTTAGTGGGGAAGTTCCAATAAGTTGGGTCTATCCTATTACCAGCAACAGTGGATGATGGTTAGGAAAAACCTGTTTCTAGTGACAATTGTTTACTGATTGTTACGGGTTTAGGACAGAATTATTGGTTATCCTCTGACTACAGTAGGTCCTCTGTCCATAGAATTTCTCGCGGCCATCGATGAGATGTTTGGTTGAAGATGTGCGCTTGGTGCTGGGGAACCCTAAAAGGTAGACATCGATTTCAGACAGTCCCAGTTCCGCAAAGGCTGCCCGTGACATGGCAGCCATGTCAACATGAATCAGGATCACTGCAAGTCGAGTCCTGTGCCTAATACTTATTCATGTGTTGGATAGCATTATATATATATACCCAAGGCTTCCAAAGACGAAACAAAGCCTAGTCGTTCTTAGGAAGACGAACCTTTGCCACCATCACGGGTCATCACTCCCTTTCACGCCCTTTCACGGTTCTTTTACCTCCTGCTTCGAGCTGATGCATTTAACCTCGAGGGAGCACCACATTCCATCACTCCAATCAAACACATAGAGAATGCAACCAGTCTTAACCCAAAGGACATGACCCACTTGAGCATGCAGCCGGGAGACGCCTCCATGTTCCATTTTCCATGAAGCATCCTGCAAACAGCAGAACTTCCACCACCGTGTCGAACAGCACGAAAAACAAAAAAACACACGCAGGCATACTCAAGAAGTTGCCTGAGTTTCGAGGATTTCAGCAGCCAAGATCGAACATGTAGTGGATGGGAACGTAGTGCCATTTCTGAGCAATGGTTCACAGTTGTTGAAACATACAAACACTTTAAAACACAGATAGCGGAAAACTCAAAACAGCGGGCCCGGTGATCCATGCAGCGGAGCTTCGTTTCAGCCACAACATCTGGTCCTCATCGAGGAATGTGTGCTCATATCGCACGTTTGTGCCTTGGCAGTTGGAGAGCGGAGGAAACCGTCGATGGGTGGATTGGGAGCAAAACGTTATTTAGGAGCCGGGGCACGATGCACAAGCATTCGCCGACACAAATGCCCAAAGGCCTATAGCTTTCGATCATCAATGTAGCACCAAATCAATTGTTTTGGCATAATATGTTTCTTTGCATTTTCTTAGCTAATCCATGCTAGTCCAAGTGTTTCGGTACAAGCGACATGCAGCTTTGGCTTGATGACAAAATGCTGCTTGTTTTGCCTCAGCTTTCTGCAAAGCACAAGCATCAATAATGCCTCAAGGTCAGCACTTTTAGAACTCTAATTTATACGAGATGCGCGAAGCTCATCTTTGATAGAAGCAAATGTGTGTTGCAAAATCTCATTCCCTCATCATATATCTTGCGTGCCTGGAAGCAATTCCTGAGATCACCAGCCAAGTATGTACTAAACTGAGCTTCAGAAGGCGCAAGAACTGTTTTGAATCCAGTGTGTTGCGACAAGTTTCAGAAATCGTGGATACCTTTCGAGAAGTGAAAACCATCTTGCCAGGGAACTCCTGGCTTGTGAAACAAACTGACCCTTTACCTACATGCATTGCAAATCTCCACACTCACATTTTGATTGGCGCAATCAATGCAACCAGGTTGCACGCAAACGCTCATAGCAGGGATTCGTGGATCTTTGGGTTCACGAGATGCTTCGAGCAATTCTGAGCTCAACCATTCTGTGATGCAGCGCGAGTTGTAGCCTTTTGCACTCAGCAGCGCTTCACCATTCTTTTTGCAGACCTTAACCCACACAAGCTCACATTGGAATATAGTAGTTGTAAGTTCTGCAGCATACAAACACGTTTAGCAAACCTGGAATTGAACACTGAGAGGCCATCTTCACCGTGAAGCCAGGCTGAGAGCAAGCAATTTTGCGGGCACTGCAAAAAGCCTTGAAGGCCTTGAAGGCTGTGTCAAGCCTTTGTTGAACTGATAGGCGACTGCTTCCAAAATGTTCCGCATCGATCAGGGTCATCCTTGGCTCTTGCATCACATGCACGCACGTTTTTGGTGCCACAAAGTGATCACAACCTCATACAAGCATGCGTCCAACAACACTACAAGAACAATGCTTTGCACAGAGCAGGGGCAAGCAGGAGCCATTGACACCCAAGCACAAACCAATGTTGACAACGTGCATACTACAAAAGCGATGCATTGTGTGATGCCAATTTCGAAGGCAAATCAATGGACCTGGTGTGGAATGAATTGAAAGGACAACAACTTGAACACAATCGATCGAACACAATCGCACATACAACAATGGTGCTCACTGGCATTTGCTGGCTTGCAAAAGCTAGTTACACGCAAGCCTAGTTGCTGGGCCCACCCTCATGATGGAGCTGCTGCGTCAAGAATTGGGATAGAGTATACTCTTTGCACCAGATTGCAGACGTGCTCGAATCAAGATCGGTATACCTGTCCTGGCCTCTCAGAACAGCAGGGCACAAGAAGCACACAGGTGATTTGGAACCAGCTTTCCAAGATGAGGTCAACCTCAGCGCCTGCTTATGGTAAAGCCAGTCAGCCCTAACTTCTGTGACGCTGAACACAAGTCCATTTGCGATTTGTTTACCAGCCCGTTCCTTTTCAGCACCAGTCAGTGGTTCACCATCGGGTCCACACTCCGGGTAGAGCCCACTGTGTAGCAAGTTGAGCGACCAAACCAAACGCCTGTATACTGCATTCAATGTATAATGTTTGTAGAGCTGATCTTCTTTGATGGCGAACACAAGCCACCGAGCACTGCGACAACTGCGAGGTCTCCACAAAGGAGCGTTGATAAATATTCCAAGATATTTCTCAGGCAAATTATATGACAACTGTCGCACTTTCGCCGCATCTCCAAAAAGCCCGAGTGGAATGTGGGCTTCCGTCGCATCCGATGCAACAGCCCAAGGTGATCCAACTGTTCTATGGTGTCGCCAAAAGTTTTTGACTTGCTCACCATCCACGTGAATGCCGGCGTTGCAGAACATGTATTTCACAACCGAAAAAGGTTCCAACATTTGTAGTTCTACCATTTCATATCCACACGCAATCTTGGGAGCTGCAATAGGCGCTCGAAAACTAACAGTTTCCTGGGTTAGATACAAGACCCAGCATCACACCGTGTCAGTTTTCATAGTGCATCAATGAATTAATGTCTTCCAAGCTGCAATTGGCACATTGAACATCCTCCAAAAATCTCGAGATCGGTTCCAGATAGAATAGGAGCCCAATTGTTTTGTCCATTGGTGACAAGTAGATTTGCTTTCCTGGGTTGATCAACATATGCAAGTATCACACCAAAGTCTTTTTTGCAGAGCATGATGCACAGAGATAGCATGTATCGTTTCTAAATTATTGCATGCCAATGGCGCGAAGATGACATTGTGCACCTTCCATAGCCCGATCAATGCTGCTAACCTCGTTGTTGCCATCAGGAAACGTGTTAGTGTTTTCCAGAAGTTCTCTTGATCTAGGGTTTCCCAATTGTTCAGGAAGGTTTCTCTGGGCTTTGTGAATCTAGCAAGTGCGAGCTGCACCAATTTTGCTATGCAAGGCACAGCTGCGGCAACATCTCGGACTGCCTTCTTTGCAATAAAGGCTTCTTGGCTGCCTGGACAAAGGACAGGTTTGTGCGGGTTTGTGGAATATATCAGGGGGTGTTGTGGACATGCATCAAATAAGTCGCTTTGCTAATGGAGCGCCGACGAGCACAACCGTGTGATCCCTCGATGGTTTCATCCCCTTTCACAGCTGGATGCTGACTGCTACAATTTGTGCACCACACTGGAATCTACTCCCAGTCGTGCGAGATTTGACCATAGTGCATTGGAGCATCAGTGACCAGTGCTTCCAAAGAAGGAACAAAATTACACAAGATTTGTTCATCGACTCTGGCACTATGGTTTCAACCCCAAACATCCAGGGCGCGATTGTCCCCCTTTCAAAGCAAAAGCCCAAGCATGTACGCTTAGAAAGTGCCAGCGTCTTTGGCTTTCTGGAACTTTGCACGAATATCCGAAGCTTTCTTCACAGCTGAATCGATGTCATCAGCCTCATACAGTTCACATAGCAGGAACTGCAAATTGTTTCATTCCATCACGAAAAAACATCACACAAAGACACGATGGTTCAGAGTTCTCTAGAATCCTGTAGAGTGTAAGTTAATATTTTACAAGGGGCCACTTCAGCATCCACGAGCTGTTGCAACTTCTCACGATGCGTATTTAGCGGAGACTTGTACTTCTTCAGCTCTTCTTTCATAGCAGCTTGGAATCCAGGAGCCCTGAGATTCTTTTCATTGTTAAAAGTCATACATGCTGTTGGAAGAATGCGCACACACAGCAAAGAAAATATCAAGTCATTGTTCCAATGTCAAATTGGCAATATTTATTTTCATGGAGTGTCCAGTCCATCTCAGGTAAGCTTAGCTGCATTTTCTGGATCTTTGCATCGATGCGATTGACATCCGTGATGGCAGCATTCAATTTGACAAGTTCCTCGGCATGGAAAAGGGAGGCTACAGACACACAAACGGCTGGCATCCATGAAGCTAGTTTGTAAGGTTTACCTTTGAACCCCACCTTTTTTCCCTCACCAACCTTTTTCTTTACTTCTTTCTGGATAGCCTTTTGCGCTTCTTTCTCAGCTTCTTTCTCAGCCTTCTGCTTCGCCTTTTCTTCTTCCTTTTCCTTGTCCTTCTTGGACTTCTTGTCCTTTTTGCCCTTTTTCTTTGATTTCTTGTTCTTCTTGCTTGCACGTTTTTTGTTTTTCTTTTTCTTTTTCTTGTCAGAACTGGAGCTGCTGTCACTGCTTCCCTCATCCGATGTGTCCTCCGCGCTGGAATCCGAAGTGGAACTTGAAGTTGATCGCTTTCGTTTCTTGCTTGTTTTGTCTTTGCAGCGGTCGTCCTTGTCTGAAGCCTTGAAGAGCTGTTCAATGACAGTATCCTCAACATCTGTTTCGTAGCTGCTATCCCAGCACAAGTACACCCTCAGATCCTCCCTATCGGGTAAATCCTCATGGTCCCGAACACATGTTTTCTTCAGAACTGGGTCGGCCATTTTGGATGCTATGATCTCATTGGCCGTGGCCTCATCGTACTTCTCAATGATCTCCTTCTTCATCATCCACCTCCTTGCGCCCGTTTTGGTTCCCCTCTTACTGGTCTTTGCACGCACAACTAGCGAGCTGTTCTTCCAAACGCCGCCGGCAGAGAGCCACTCTTCGAAGAGTGTTTGGAGGAGTTCTGTCTTGTTGGTACCTGCTGGAAATACAACATGTTTGCTCAGACATGGCCAGTATAAAGGCCCCCCAAGTTCCCTCCAAACCCTGAGTTTTAAGCCATTGAAAAAAGACTTGGGGGACACCTTCTTTCATGGCCAAGGCTGAGCAGAAAGGTGTCAGCTGGAAGGATGCAATTTCAATGAAGAGTCTCCTGTTGGTAACGCACGCATGATGCAACATGTTGCAACGCCAATTGTGCAAGCAAGGCACTGCCACGGGCATTTTCTGCCATCGAGCGCACTTCAGGTGGTGACCTTGAACCTTAATTAACACAGTGTGGATTCACAGCTGATGGATGCAAAAACAACTGGTGTTTGTGTTGTCACGTTTTGTGGTTCGCTTTCATCTCATAACCATGTCTAGAGACTCGCAAGGCTTCGATAGAACACCATTTTCCTGTTGTGCATAGCCTTCTGTTCTGGTGTTCTCTTTTTGGTTTTCTTCTTTTCCGATTCCTTCTCAGCTTCCTTTTCTTCTGCTGTGTCTTCTGCCTCTGACCCCTTCTCCTTTGACATTGTAGCAGTTGAACTTCGATTCAGCATGGCCGAAAGAGAGTCTGTACTTCCCTTCGGGGTCGCGGTCCTACCACGGGTCTGAGGCGTTGCAACACCTCGCTTGGACATTTCCCCATTCTTGGGCTCAGGGAACAGCTCTCGAGGCGTAGGAAGCTCCGCCTCTTCAGGGGGGGTGTCACTTGGCTTGCTGCCCCTGGCCTTGGCCTTGGCCTTTACCTTTGCCTTGGCCTTTGCTTTTGCTGCAGTTTTTGCAACCTCCTTTTCATGATTCTCCTTTCCATGGTTGTCACCCTTCTTAGCATCATTGGTCTTGGCTTTCCTTTTTGGTGCTGTTCCTTTTTGTTTCTCCTCATCACATTGTTCCATTTCCTCCACGTTTTTCTCTTCTTCTGGCTCCTCGGGTGGTTCAACCTTTTTTGCAGCCTTCCCCTTAGCCTTCCCCTTGGCTGCAGTAGCCTTTGTTGGTTCATTGGGTGCTTCGTACACCTGTGTGACCTGAGAGTCCATGTTCGACTTTGCCTTCTTCGGTTGCTCTGCCTGTTCTAGCTCCTTCAAGTCCTCCAGCGCACGTTTGCTGGACTCCAGAGCCTCGCTGTCTGCCATGTCTGCTAGCATCTGTTGACCTTGATCTTCACCCCCTCCAGCACAGGAAAAAGAATTCAATTGGTTTAGCAGCATATCATGCAATGATTGATTTTAATGATTTGTTGTGTGGGCCCACCTTCGCCCTTTTCCTTTTCCGGTTCTTTGCTGAGACGCATCTTTCTTTCATTGGCTTTCCGCAATGCTTCGGCAATGCGCTGTTTACGTTCCTTTTGATCATCATCAGCCATGGCGGCTGCAAAATGCTGCCAAACCCTAAGGCTGCACACAAAACCCTTGAAAGCCAGCCACATTCAGAAATGGAAGACATAAAGTCCTGGTCACACACAGAAACCTCCAAACAGCTTTCCAAATCCGACACGATAATCCGAATTGTGTTTGTTTCGTTTTTTCCGGATTTACCTATTTTTTGATGATTTTTAGGGGGTGGCAAACCACGGTCCTTCCACGCCAAAGTTTAGCGCTTCCACGGATAAGTTTAGTCGTTCCACGGGTTTACCACGGGTCGACCACGGCCTGTTTTCCCACCAGAGGTACCCAATCCAAATCATCCGTACAATCTCAACCTTTTGGTTCAACAAATTGGCATCGAATTGCCAACACTCGATGAAAGCCTTTGTGGCTCAGCAATCCAAGTGTTGGAAACATCAAATCACTAGGTCAAGGTTCAGTCCAACCCATAGGGAATCACTGGAGTGTAGCGGCTTTGATTCCTTTGCTCAATGAGGTATTGGCGAAGTGGCTCCAAGTCTGCCAGCTCCCAGGCCTTCATGGATCGAGCCTTGGCTCACAATCGATATAGCTCTCACACTTGTCAGACGTGCTGTAAAATTGTGCAACTGTCATACACCGTGTTCTGAGTAGCATTCATCAGCAATGAACGCATTTGTTTGCAAGAAGGCTCATCAGGCTTTAGCTTTCCCAATAGACATTCACGAAGTTTCCCCTGATTCTTTGCCTGGGCCCAGGATGAATTGCAGAATGACTGGGCCAAAGCCCCTTCCTGCTCACGCTGGCTTGCTACCAGGTTGCAATGTGAGCACGATGGATTTTGGCAACTTCCTTTCCATATTTCTTCGGATAAACTTGAGAGCTCTTCAGCATAGCTGTGCCTTGCCTTAGCTACTTTGCATTTTTGCCGGTGCAACACATAAAGACCACAGTGCACAACAAATGACTGCTAGGCTTCCTACACCCTCCGAATGCCATTGCGATCCACATATACTTTGCAAAGTGATTTTCCTTTCTTTTTCAATTTCCTGGTCAGCCGGTCTCGCTTTGCTTTCGTTAGCTTCCGGTACAGCAAATAGCCCCATGGCCTGGGAGCCACGGTCTGTTACATTCCCCCTAAAGCATGTTTCTGAATCATGTCCAAGCTTGTAGGTCTGGGAAGCTTACGCTGTACCAAACAACGTTGTTGGTTTTGGAGAGCAGGCCCCCCAAGTTCCCATCCACCTGAATGCAACCAAGCATAGTGGTACTTGAACTACAGTGAACAGTGAACAGAACTGTTTGAAACCCTGAGAACCTCACATGTTTGTGGACAGCCAAGGCAAACGAAAGCGCTTCTGGAGAACTCTGCAAAGCTTGGCAAAGTGCCCGAACCACGGCATAACAGAGCTGCGAGGCTGTTCCACAAGACAATAGCAATAACGACTCATTGCAATGATCACAATAAGAATGAGTCTTGATGTAATCCTTGGCTCTTTCAAAAGGTGAGGAAAGCCAAAGATGACCCGTGTGCATGCAATCCACATAGTATACTATTGTGCATGAGGTTGAGAAGCAGGGACAGTAGCTCAGCAGTTATATAGTTGTCCGAGGGGCTTGTTGGCCGCCTCGACTCCTGGAATCCAGCGGTGTCCTTCTGGATCCTCCCGACTTCTTCCGGATGTGTGCCTGTTCACCCAAACAAAGGTTGAGCATGGTGGCCCTGCATGCAGCAGGGCGTCTTCCTTTGTGCGTAGTGCCAGCTGCAACAATCTCAAGAATCCTTTCCTTGGTTCACCATTCTCTTCTGAATCTATTGAATGGTCTTTGTAGTTGTTGATACCCCACTGTTTTTTAGCAAAGCCACGTCGACAAGATGTCATTGGACACTGGATGTGTGGCAACATCATACATCTCCCTGAAGTAGGTTCACCAAAGAGCAATGTGATGGGAACTCAGGACCTATCCGACAGATCTGAGACTGGAACCCACGGCTTCCACGAGAACCTCAAGTTGGCATTTTGCAGTTGTGTCTTGTCCATGAGTGTATTTTTCAAAGGCTGGACAACAAAGGCTCTCACTGAACCCATTCAATACAGAGGCTTCACCGGCGAAGATATCCAGGACATCGAGGTTCTTAGATGTGCGCAGCCACAAAACAACGCGCACATGGAAGGGGTTGTTCGCAAAGCACCGTCTTTTATATTATATTCCAAGTCCCCAGCTCGGCGATTGACATCTGTGTTTGTTGTAGCTTGGCAAATGAAGTCAATCGCATGTAGCCTTGATTGAGTGTTTTTGAATAGAGTGCACAAGAAAAACACGCAGTAAACAATGCATCGACGTAGCATGATGACGGGACATCCCAACAGCAGAGCCAGCATCATCCCATTCCGAGTCATAGCCAAAGGCGATGATCTCCACTCCGGGTTCGCGGGAGGCATGGCACTAGGACTCACAATACCCCAACTACTTGACCTGAAAGCCCTTCACATTTAATTAATTAAGTACAAAGCATCACACGAATAAATTCAGATTCAACCCGCTCCACATGATTGCAATAGCAAGACACTGAGTCCACGCTTCATGGCTGCATGCTCACACGCACCATATTGTTCACGCTGAGCTGGCAGCTGGAAGGTCCCCGATCCAAGCCACGGCCAGAAGCTAAAAGATAGATCGATGATCGAACTCGAACAGTGTGGGTTTTCAGGCCCTGTGGAACAGAACCCTTACTCCCGAAGCAGCCTTTCAAGAAATGAATCACTCAATGCCAAACAAGAATCACAAGTTGTTCAAAACACATGCATGTCCAGTTGCTCGATGGGCAGTTTCCACACGTTCGCAATTTGAAACAAAACGTTGGCTCCTATCCTATCATGTCTCACTCCTTCGGAGAACGCCATCCAGCAAATCGGGTAGCCCACTCCCACCTCACATGAAACATGTTCTTCGATGGTGACCTTTGAACCCCACCTTAATTTCTTTCATCACCAATCTCCGATGGTTGTGGTTTTTATGTTTAGCAGAACTTTTGCTAAGCCCCCTGTGGCCCAAACGCAAAGGATACACCGCCAGAAGCTGACCATCCAAAGGTCATGCCTTCCGAGCTGTTCGCCTGAAAGAAGAGATGTGCAGTCAATGGTTCATGTGGGACTCTTGGCTTGGTCCAGGTGTGTAGTGCCCTGAGGGAGGAAGATGGATCTTTACATATTCTTGCCAAGCAGCAGAGAACTTCACATCCAATACTTCGTTGATGGACGCAATACGATTCTTGGGCACCTTGTACACGTAGAAAGATCCACTCGACTTATTGAGCCTTATCAGGTTTCCCATTTGTTGCTGCTCGTTCAACCATGTCCGCTTTGAGTTGAAAATTGTTGCTTATCATTCACTCACTCTATATCGATTATATATCTAAGCTAGTATCTAAGATTTGAGCATCACTCCAATCGAACAGCTGGTCTCCCCATCAACAGCATCAGATCCACGAGGATCTCGTAGGGTAAATG